TGGATTTTACAGAATAGTAAGAAATGACTAAACTGGGGTTAGGCAGCAGATGAAGAGGTGAGTGTATGAAAGGGCTACAGTGATCACTCTGTCCCTGAGACCATGCCACCTGACACCTGGGCTTTCTACTCAGCTCCCAAGGCTCTGTGAACTCCAAGATGCTGTGTAGCAGAAGGACAGATGACCCTGGCACCTCTGATCTCCATGGTATTTTCATACATGTTGTGGTGACATGTCTAAATACATGACTATGCACATTTAAAAAAATAATAAGTCCTGGCAGTTTCGTTTCACCAACATATTTCTAAATCAAATGTTTCTTTTTCTTTTTTTTTTTCTTTCAAATGTTTCAGAAAGTTTGAGCTAATAGCACAAATTCCTCCAAATTACATGGAATACAGTCACAATCTAATGACCTGCAGTTGTGCTATGATATGTACAATTCTCTGTTACCAAGCATTGATAATGGAGAGAGGCTAGCAACCTGATAGGGGATCTTCCATGGCACATCTGAGTAAGTGGACTTTTCTATGCGACTCACCCAAGGACCCGAACAACACTGTGGGCTTAGGAGGGAGAAGCTCCCTATCTGCAAGGCCAGACTCTATAAACAATTTGAAACTTGATCAAAGTTATATTGAAAGGAATTTTTATGGGGACACACTTGCATCAACTTCATGACAAAACAATAATGGATGAAATGTGTAGGAAGATTATGATGGGGACTGAAATAGTCATGGAATTCTGGGGCCTGCCCAGTGGTTTAGTGGTAGCACACTGCTAAAGCAATGCTGAATCCATATGGAAGGTCAGGGGTTCTGTTCCAAGTTCAACCTGTATATGTTGTAGGTGCTCCCATGACTTGAGCTGGCTGGGAAGACTATAGGGTGAGGAGTTTCACAGTATGAGACCATCTCACACTCTCATAAAAGAAAGAAGTAAAACTTAAAAAAAAAAAAAGAAAAAAGAAATATTCTTGGTCCCAGCAGGTGGCATGGTAGTTAAGGCACTGGATCCAACATGGTTGACTCTATGGTTCGAGTCTCATACCTTGGGGACTTGAAAAACACACTGAGAATGTATAGTGTGTGAGTGCCCAGAATACCAAGAGGAGAATGGGGGAGAGGGATTTACTGTGTAGCCATCCCCCCATGGGGAGTGATTTCTCATTTCCTCTCTCTCCCTTTCTCTCTCTGGCAAGGGCACATGCCCCATAGCTAAAAAATAAATATTCTTCAAATATTAACCAACTGTATTGCACTACTGGTCTGTAATTTACTTGCCAGAAAGATCAGGGAATCAAATATGATATTTTCATTTCCTTTCTGTTCTACTCCTTATTTCCACCAATAATAACATTTCTTCAGATTTCACGATTCAACAACACTCATGCTAAGAGGACAGCCTCGGATTTCAACTAGCCAGGAATTCTCATTCTGAGAATATGATATGATTTGAGAGATTCAAATTAAAATTTAAATCCATTTAATGCTGAAGTTTTAGAAGACAACATAACTTTAAAATTGTTGCCAAATAATATTTTTAAAATGTTTTTGATTCTGAGGAGGATATGTGGGAAAAATAAATAAATAAATAAAATGTTTTTGAAGAATTAGAGATGAGGCTTTTTATTTTTAAAGATTTTTCTCATAAAGAAAGAAGGCCACATTACATTCTCATTTATTTTGTGTTTAAGGAAAGGACTGTGAACTGTTGTCCATGAACTCAGAGAACTTGTTTCCATCAACCTGCTGATGTTTATACTTGGTAACTGAGGAAAAGCTATCTCAGGCAGAATTCTGAATTCTTTCACTTGATTTGTTTCTTGCCTCTCTCTAACATAGTTATGCATACAAAACTTTTTCCCCCCCATGTGGTGCCTTTATTTGCTTAGATAAAAAACTAAAATACAATTTCAAGCCTACTATAGTTTTAGAAATATCAGTTATGGGGGAGCAGCAGGTGGCATGATGGTTGAGGGCGCTGGACCCCCATATGGCTAACTATGGTTTGAGTCCCAGACCTGGCAGCTTGCTTTCTCACTCTCTCTCTCTCTCTCATTCTGTCCCTCTCTGGTCAAATTAAAACAAGTAAATAAATATTAAAAGAAACATCAGTGATAATATGCTGGTAAAGTAATACTGAAGCCTTTCAAACTAAGCCCCAAACACACCCGCACACATGCACACCCAGGTACCTGCACATATATTCATGCACTACAATGTACACAACATTTGTATAACAAGATTTCAGCTCTACATACCTCAACAATGGCACCTCCGGGGAGTCTGAGAAAATGGCGATACAGCTCTTGGAACCCACTGGGATAGACGGTGTAGACAGCTACATGAGAAGTTGTATCTCCTGAATCAAGTGCAGACACAGAAGTGTCACGTTGATGTTGGAGGTCACAGCTGGAGACACTGGAGTTGAAGCCATGGCTTTTCCAGATGTAATCATACACCGCCACCTAGTGAGACACAGAACCCCCCCCCACACAC